ACGAGAGCGTGAGAGAGGAGCTCGGTGTGTCCTAAGAATTCCCCCGGCATTCTAAGCCTATAGCAGCTTAACTAAGGGCTGGTCCGGACTAACCTGAGCCAGCCCTAACTATAGGCAGAACTTGATGACTCGATGTGGACTCTAGCTAAAAGACGTGAGAATCACTTGAACTATTGTACGTTTTCACTACTATGTAAAATGTCATTTCTATATATGCTAATCTCTTATCTGGACATGTGTTGGCCAGTTTGCTGTCCTCCTGAAAACAGCGAGTCGGGCTAAATGGACTGTGAGGAGCTCAGTGATGGGCAGATAAGAGGACAAAGTCACTCCTGTGATGCAGGGGAGGGCCTGACTCACCCACTCCACGGCGATGTGAGTGTAGTGGGCCTTATTTATCGAGTCTACCCAGGGAGAGTCTATGTTGTGCAAGTTGTAAAACCCTTTGAGGCCAAGTCACGATTGGGGTCTTGTAGTGGGGTATGAATTGTTCACACACTGTAGTTCTATAATAGTATAATAGGGGGCATCTTGCATGGAAGCCCCTGCCATTGATCTAAAAGGGTGAATGATGACATGTAGTGTTAAAGAGCTTTAAATGAGATATGAGGGCTAGAAAAGTGCTCAACCAGTACAGCCCATTCACCATCTACCACGTATGATACAGCAGGTCTGTGATATGAACACTGTGTTTCAGTGATAGGGGAAGAGATCACAGCAGAGTACGTGTTTTTGACATTTAACGGTCCTTTATTTTGTACTTTTGTAACATTATTATTATTATTGTTGTTATAAAAGCAGAGGTATTGTGTTAAAACATCTGTTCACATCAAAAATAGTTTATTCATTGGCCTTTATAAAGATTACATGAAAAAGAAAGACAATCCCCTCCCAAAAAAATGTTAATAAGACAGTGAGACTTTTGGTTTTGGTTACAAATGTGCCGGTACATTTGTTTCATTATTACTCAACAGTAAACTGCAGTAAAAGCACCTTGACATGATATTAACATTTGTTTTAGATTATCCACAACGTGTGATGAGGTTATTCAAACATGATGTACCCCATAAACATTTGGGCAAACAAGGACATGCACCATCACATGCTGCAGATGTTATCACAGAGGAATGCATAACGTAATGTGATCAAACCATAATCTTACGGCCTCCCTATCAAACTACGAACCCTTTTCCCTCCTCCTCCCTCTGCGGACCTTTTTCCTGTCAGCGCTTTGCTCTCACATTCCTCTATTCCAATCAGAAAAGCTCATTAAAATTCCTGCTTGTAAGAACCAGAGAGGCACGGGAGACAGTCTTCTTTTGAAGGACGTGCACACAGACGGGTCCACTGAGGGAACTCAGGCGTGATGCAGGCGCACAAAGAGCCAGTAGGGTGCAGCACCTGGACGACCGACACTAAACCTGACCCTCCGTGTGTGAGTCCTACACCCGATCAACGCTTTTCATTTAATTAAATAAACGCCCTCGTTTGGAAGTCTTATTTTTTGACGTTGTCTGGGTGACGTGACATTGCAGCAAAGGGCTGTTTATATTTACACTCACAGACTCTCACACTCAACCACTTAGCAGGTAACGTCAGTAGGGTTCAGGGTCTGTGGTCCATGGGGGAGATTGGGATTGGGCCCCAGTCTCGTTTTAACCCCCTCCATCTATCCAACCACCTGGTTTGTTCTGTTCTGTTAGGAAGGAACAAGAGATGGGGGAAGACAATTTGTTTTTCATTCCAAGCCTCTGAAAATGGGGATGACTGTGTAAGAAGTTCTGTAATCCGCTAAACAATGAATACGGTGTTTTTGTTATATCCATTGAATTAAAGCTGAAAGTCTACACCAAACAAATATAATCTGCTTTAGTTCAAATCATTTAAAGAGGCTACATTTTGAAAATTGAAAGGTATTGTATGGTACTTTTGCCTTTCTCACACTTTTATTCCATTTTATTCCACGTTAAACTCCTACTCCTCTATAGACCATGAGGACATGTTTGACTATATAGGAACAGTTAGTCAGACGATGCTTTGTTATGAACCAAAAAGGACACACTGCTGTTGATACCTGTATCCATACAGGACCAATTCTGACTCAAATAGCTGGGTCGGGGTACTATGGCAGGGTCACGTATGTTCAAATTCCTGTTGATGTTTTCCCCAATTCCCGCTAAAGGTTGCTGGAGTACACTTTTTACTTCATTAATAATTAACAATTTAGTTTATTATTTAGATTTTTTATGTAGTTTTTATGTAGACTTTGTAAGCTATTTAAATAGTTTGTATTGTCCTATATGTCATGAAAATAGAAGAAGGAGGTGATTCCATAGAACTCAAAGAGATGCCCTTTTTCAGATACCGAGGCAGTGAAAAAGCACCAGAAAATCTTGACCATTTGTAAGGAGCAGTGTGTTATAATCAGACATTGTATATTTATGTCTCTGCTTTGTTGCTGGGACATGACATGTAACATGTAATAGTAACATGGTGTTTAGTGGGTTTTATGCAGCAAGGATTTCTCTTTCTTCACAACATAAACTGACAGAAGTCATGTGGAATGAACTGTTTCAACATCACACAGATGTAAAGGAACAAAAACATCCCAAACACAATACTAAGAATATATTTATTCAAACATATAGGGGTTAATTGGTGACTCTACATGTGTGAATGTGAGAGTGAATGGCGGTTTGTCTTCATGTCAGCCCTGGGATTGACAGGTGACCCCGTCTCCCGCCGATGTTTCTTCACTCCATTCTTTCGTATTCATCCAATGAAGCAACTTGCCGAGTTGGAAAAAGATACTTTTCACTTTATTGAATGATGAGATGAGAAGGCAGCTATGGAACTTTGTAAGCCACCTGCCAGTGTTCAATCTCACTCCTGTGGTCAGAACAACCTGGAGATGAATGAACTCAAAACTGAGAGGATGACCGTGGACTTCAGGAGAAGACCCCCATCACTGCCCCCCTCACCATACTTAACAGCACTGTCTGCTGTGGAAACCTTCAAGTCTCTCCACAATCACCAGTGAGCTGAAGCGGGCCTCCAACATCAAGATGAAGGCCCGGTAGAAGTTGACCTCCTGCACCAGCTCAGGAAGTTTACCCTCCCTCGGGAGCTGCTGGTCCGGTTCTACTTCATCCAGATATCATCCAGTCTGCTCTCTGTCCTTCAGGCTGTGCGTGGTTTGGATCAGGTGTGCAGAGGGGATCACGCCTCCAGCCTGCCCTGCATCCTGGACTTGTACAGAGTCAGGAAACAGGGCAGGAACCATCCCTGCAGACCTTCACACCGTGGACACAACCTGTCTGGACTCCTCCCCTCTCGTAGGCGCTACAGAGCACTTCACGCCAAAACCACCAGACACAAACTCCTTCTACGCTCAGAGCGTCTCTCTGGACAAATAAATCACCTTTTTTGCACTATTACCACCTTTTGCATCTTCATTCATTCCATATTCAATGTCGCTGTTTGTGACACTATATTTACTTTTCAATAGTTATTCATGTATCGTATGGTCATAAAAAAACTTTTTTTTAAATGTCTTTTTTATTGGGTATATTTCTCTTTATGAAATGTACTGTGTCTTTGCATGTAACCAGGGTCAAATTGCATGTATGCACGAGTATACGTGGCGAATAGAGCGGATTCCGATTCCGATTTGGATTATAATAATAATACGTTTTGTTTTGACAGCAGTCCTCCAGGATCCCAAGTACATTGGTATTTAAATATTTATTTGAAACGTGACAGACACACAAAAGAAGTTTTGATGAATTGGAGTGACAGAATGAAGCACTGTGAGACACCTGGACTCTCGATAATCTAATAAGGTTTTTTAGTGTGTTTTAGAACGTTCACACATTTTTCTTTGGGATCAATAAACAAGTTGAATCAAAGGGCCACTGATGCACCGCTACTTCGTCCCTTTTACGCAGCAAGTCAGCGGATTGACCAAGCAGGACAACCGTAGCTCCCCCGGTACATGCCGGTCCTACACCTGGCTGTGCGCTTAATTTCCTCCAGGTGCCCACAATATTACCCAAATAATAATCCAACTAATTATTAAAACTACGGCACACTTAAATAACGACACAAAATTAAACTTAATTGACCGAAACAGGAAATATTGAATTAAATCAAACTAAAACAATTAAATAATACTACTTAAGAGTAAATAACTAAATACTAACTGTAAATGAAAAGCTCTATCTATCTTGAAATGATAAACGCGTCGTTCACACACAGCGCGCAGCTCATTTTCTCTTTTTCTTAAAAAAAAAAAAGACAATTAATACAAAAATAAAAACAGCAAACGAGCATTTAAAACGCCCGTCTAGCAAAGTCGGGCTGACTTTCTATATGGAATCTACATGAATGGCATCATAAATGCTGAATGAAAGGATCCACACCAGAGGAGGACGCATGGGAATAAAGCCTCTGAATCACGGACATCGTTGTGTGTCCCCCGCTGGCAGGAACCATGAGGTCTGGATGTGATGGTTGGTTGTGTTGATCTGTCCACCCACTCACACAATCACCGCACAAAAGCAACACAACTCGAGCTGCGCGAGCTCTTTTTTTTTCCAATGCAACTCTTTGCGTTTCCTTCTGAATCCAATGCGACGGGACTTGTGCGCTAACCTGCGTCAAGAAAGAAGAAAAAACAACCGAACTATGAATGAAACTTTATCTGCAACTGCTGGAAAGAGTTAGCCGGGCCCATCTGGTGCGGCAAATGGCCCAACTCACCAGGGAGCGAGGGGGGGAGTGAGGGAGGGAGAGGGGGGGGGGGGAGATGGTAAAGAGGGGGGAGGAGATAGAGGGTGAGGGGGGGAGATTGAAAACAGTTCAGCAGCCTGGAGATCTCCACACCACCGCATGCCTCTGCACAACTGCCGACTGAAGCCAAACCGCATTTACTCCCAAACTTTCACGCGCAGAGAATAGAAGAATTCCCGGTCAACAAGCTTTGAGGTGTAAACGCTTCAGTTTAGTTGGTCAGAACGCTCGCACAAACACGCTCGTCATGGGAGAAGATGGATTGTAAGAAAAAGTTGAACTCGACTCGCGCACCGAAGCGGCTCCGCGGCGCACAGAGCGAACTTTGAGCGGCTCCAAAACTTCCGCCCGCGACCCGGTTCATGGAGTGCGGAGAGGCTCGTCTGCACGTCGCGCTCCCCCCCGCGGTGCCAGTCCGCTCCTAGTCTACGGGACACCCCCCCCCCCCACTCCAGGGCAAAGTTTTCCTCGGACCCCATAAAAGAGCCTCGGGCGGTTGGGAAGTGAAAGCAAGACGCGGCGGAAAGGTAAGCGCACTTTAGCGCGACGCTGACAGCGCCGCTGGGTTTGCGCCGCGGCCCCCCCCCCCCTCCCGTGCGCTTGTGTTCACTTGGTGTGTTTGCCAGCGTTTCACCGGGGCTCTCCTCCCCCGTTGCTCTCATGTTCTGTGTCGCCCCGCGTGTCAGCGGCTTCACGTCTCATTTGCACTTTGAACTTATCTGACACAGGAATCCTAGAAATGTTTCGTCCTGCAACTCGATCCATCAAGGGAGGAGATGCGTTCGGGGAGCTCGGCGCCTCCCGCAGAAGCTTTTAATAGTTCTACCAGTGACCGTTCTAATGGTTTTCCACTCAAGTGACCTGGGCGTGATCTCACAATCTAAATCCAATTAAAATAAATATTTTACTACATCTGTTTCCATCATTCCACCTTTCTGTGAATGGAAGAAACTGATAAAACCATTAGGCTCATTACGCATTTCGGAGACCTTTGCTTTCTAATCTCTTAACGCCACAAAGCAAAGAAGCACCGAGCAGGAGTCTCCGCGTGGGGACGTGGGCCCGTGGGCCCGGGACCGGCCTGTGGGAGATGTGTACTTCTTGTTGAAAGATTCAAAGTTGACTGTTTGCTCTGCAGCCTGAGCAGTCAACAAACACTTGACGCCTTTGTGGGGCCCTTAAGCAGCCATATTTGCTGTTGGCTTTTCCTCCATCTAACGGGCGCTGCTAATGATCTCCAAACTCATGTGTGCGCTCTAGTCTCACTTCTGCCGCCGCTTCTTTTGGCCTTTTTCTTAAAGCTTTTCCAAAATAACAGAGTTGTTTGCAAACATGCTGGACTCCCCTCCTTGGATTTTTTTTTTTTTATATTTAAAGAAAAAATCAGTTGTGAAGTTGGAATGTGTTTTCAAAATGATGAGTTAAGATTAAGAAGAATTCATCTTGTTAAAAAAAAGGAATAGTTTGGAAAATGTTTCAAATAATATGCATGTTTTAAACCGGCCGAGACTTTTGTGCATGTGTATTTTCCGCTTCACATGATGACAACCCCGGTCACAGCCGAGCTGATTTGCATGAGAAAAAAAAAGAAAAAGTTTTAGTGCATTTGGCCATTGTGAGGAATGAAGAGTTCCAACAGTTAGGGCCGACGGAGAGTGAAAGGAGCGAAGAATGGATGAGCCTATTCAGCTCATTCAGGGGGAGACCCATAGTGGCCATGTCACTTTCATCTCCCCAGGCCTGTGTGCCTGTTGTCCGCTGCTTCAGCCCCCGTTTTCACACATCGCCTCTGTGCACAGGCCTCACTTTATTGATCTGCCTCCCGCTTTTTCTTTTTCTTTTGCTTCTTTTCTGAAAGTTCGCACCAAATTTAATGAACCAAATACTGGAAAAGGTGTGTGTGTGTGTGTGTGTGTGTGTGTGTGTGTGTGTGTGTGTGTGTGTGTGTGTGTGTGTGGACCAAGGAGGAGGAGTTTGAGGGGTGGGGAGGGGTACAGCTCTCTTTTGAAAGCAAATACCGATGAAGTCTAGCGTACAGGGACAGAAAGGAGGGTTGGAGGAGCGGGTGAAGTCAGAGTGACTCTGAGGAGGGGGAGGAGCCCCCCCCCCATTCCTCCTCACCCACCACAACCACCTACTCCTGCTGAGTAAACTCAGAAAAGTTGGAAAAAGAAAAAAATCCCCCCATTTCCCTGATCCCACTCGCTGTATACTGTACCGACGAAGGCATTGGGCAGCCTGTCCACTCACAATGGCGGCCGTAAGAAAAAGGCGCCTGTGGGGGGATGTGGCAGGTCGGGGGGTTTCTTTGCTTTGGCAAAAAGTGATTGCGCTGTTTAGTGGTTGTAGATGAAGAGGAGCTGCGGCCTTCACCCTAAATACCACTGCGTGGACGTGGCCCTAAACCTTCTGCTGTTAGCAGTCATCATTCATCTCATGAGCAGTTGGCTCATCAAGGTGCTTCTGGGTTCATTTTGTGTCAATCAGTTGTGCGCTGCACCTCCTTTCTCCTCACATTGGCCCATTGGTGTTAAGCAGTGGATTATTTACGCCTCCCATAGTGGAGTGGCTTCTATCGACGCCCACAGAGCGAACGTTTGATGTTCCTGGTGTGGTGTAGTATTGTAGTTAATATTGTAGTTTCTTTGCCAGCAGACAGTGACAAGTCGGAAGTGAGAAAGTGTTGAATATTTCACACTGTTAAGACGGACGCACAAAACCGTATTTTGGCTTCAGCTTTATCAAGGACATGAAGATGACGGCGTCTCCTCCACACGGAGGAAGGTGCATTGTGGGTTGAATGTTACCCATGTGTAGGGATGAATTGATGAGACTTTAATGGCCATTTAGGGGCCTGTAAAAGGCAGCCGTGTGTCGGGCGACGCCACAGCCATCGTTCACAGTCAGCGTCCACTTCAGACGGAGGGAGGAGTGGGAGAGCTGGAGAGAGATGGCCGCTCACACTCCTCTGTAGAGCCCTTCACTGAATCCCATCTCTTTTGCCTCGGCATGGGGAACGCCTGCTGGACAATCCCCGCTTGTTTTAGCGGCCTTTGTTTCTCTCCCCTTGAGGCATCCTGTTCATTTTCCCTCAAGTGTGTGAGGTTAAATAGGTTCCCATCATATCTCCGTTGGGGTTACACTTTTCCAACCCCCCTTTTTGCCCCAACCCACCCTTCCTACACTACAGCGGCTAGGAGTGGGCACTCCAATTCCCAGAACAGAAAGTGAGATCAGGCTGGATTGTACCCCTGCAGTGAAAAGAACACATTGGCGGCGTAAAGCCCCAAAAAACACACATGACTGGCGCAGAGCCAATGTGCATTTAACAAGCCATTTTAATGGCTGTACGGTAAAATTACTGACAAGCTCATTACAGGCCGATTGACCTCATCAATCACTGCAGAACTGCAGCGGAAACTGGTTGTCTCAGGAAAACTGTAGTTCCAAGCCGTGCAGCAAGGTTTTAACAACGGTCCTTCTATGCCGGGGCCTCTGTTGTTCTCAAACTGCAGAAAAGGAAGCACGAGGAACTCAGCCAGCTCCAATATCTTCAAAAGGGAGGAGAGCTTAAGCAGATCGAGTCTTGTATACAGTGTACTCTGTGTGATGCATGATGTGTCATCACCAACACGCCACACAAAGATCTCCTCATTGCATCCTGGCCCAACTCTTCACACACTCCTTGACTCACATACTGACTCTTCGGAAACCCAGTTTCCCAAAAGCATTTCAGCGGGAACCTCATCATTGTCTATCGGCTTACAAAAGAACAATGGCCGTGGTAGCTTTGGGGTCTTCAGGGGGAACCCTGCCCAGGTCACGGGAGGTCACTTCATTTGTAGGAGGTGGGGGGTGGTGAAGCTAATTTCATTATCTCAACACAAGATAAACTCCACAGACAATGGAAAGGGACAGGTTGTTGTTTTACTCTCACTAGTCTCTTTAGGCCTTACTTCTCACAGTCTTCCAGGTTGAATGATTAGTCGATTCCGGTCGCAACTGTTGTTAATCCAGTCATTGTTTCGCGTTTCATTCCCTATTTCCAGTTTGCTAAATGTGCACTGTGGGCTGATTTTCTGTCTTCTATGTAAGTAAACTGAATATCTTTTGGTCTTGGAAAACCATAATGAGAGGAATGAGAGGAACTGATGATTGCAACTCATTTCTGTTTACTTTTTTCTTTGTACGTAGGCTTGGTACAACAGCACAGTGTCAGTTATCTTGGCAAAAACAATATTACGATAGTCTTCAAAATGTGCTTAAAACACTTGTTAATGAATGGCAAAAAAACAGGGGGGATGACTTTAGTTCACGTTGAGAGTTATTGCATCTTAGTGGAGGACCAACAAACCAGTGTTGAACTAGTCAATCAACCAAAAATGTACTTTATACTTGTATTCCAATCAAGTAAACAAAGCAACTGTCTTTAATGAGATGATATGAGAGCATTTCTTTACCTTTTTAAGTCTTATATCAGTTTGATATGGGTTGCTTTTGTTACTGTTACAGTTGTTGTCCAGGATAAGAATGTGCAAGGATCGTTATTGAGCAGCCAATCGCCCAAAACCTGCTCCGCTGCAGGGCTCGCCATGCTGACATTAAAAGCCATCTTTGTATGTATTGACTCTTTCGGGTTGGCATTTGTTTTTCTGACTTTACGGCTCGCTTACATGATTCTTTCCTCCTTCGATGTAGTGGTTGCCTGGCATTCTTTATCAAAATGAATATAAATGTTTGAAATTGACGGTTTGTATGAAGTGGATCAGCTGTTGGCGGACTGTGAACAGTAGGATCGCGATTGCCCCCCCCCCCACCCCCCCTCTCACTGTATCATTAACCCTTCTTCATCAAACACCCCAGCGAGCTTTGCTCAGCGACTGTGAGCAATGGAGATCCAGTGACACCGGCCTGAGGACAATGCCGTATTGTCCGCGATGTTTGCGCGGGCCTTAATCTGATGCAGAGGCAGAGATCGGGTCGTTGCAGAGGCCGACAGTACAGAGAGAGAGAGGAGGGAGCTGGGATCTGTTTGTGCTCTTAACTTTGGGGGGGGGCGCGTAACGAGTTATGATCTATGCTACGCCCTCCCATAGCTACAAAGTCTATGTAGCCTCAAGAGCAAGGGCTCCTGTGCTTCCTTCCTTTCGTTTCCACATGATGGGAGATATTGGATTCCAGAATCGTGCTGACTCAGTGCCAGGCCACAGTCTCCTCTCAGATAGAAGTCTGCGTTGAGCTTGGGTTTAGAGACATGTGGTTATCTTCAGCAACAAGCCCCGCAACCTTCTCCCCCTTCTCCCTCGCAATACGTCTGTTGCTGCTCCTCTCTCTCTCCCTCTTCTTCTACCTCAGGCTGCGGGCCAAAAGGAGGTTTGTTCATGTTTTGTGATCCGCTCATTAAAGGAAAAGTGGGATGAAAACCGCACTGGTTGCGTGCTGGGCCGCCTTTTTGCACTAGGTCGTTTTCACATGCGAGCGCTGGTGATGTGAGGCTGTGAACAGGTGGTCGTAGCCTAGCAAGGCA